GGTGTTTTACCCTGATCACTTCTCTATCTAAAAAAATAATGATGACCAGGAGGAAATCTCTTTCAAATAGTGATGCAAGAACAGAGCTAAACCAATTTGTATCATTTTGTTGTGTTAAGAACATAGCAGAGGGGATGTGTTAAATACTAGTGGAAACATTATTTTGGATGAATAGGAATGCAAAGAAGCGATAACCGCTTTATGGTCTATTTCATAGCATAAGTCATTTTGGAACCAGTGATCTACTCCAGGTGACACCAGGAAAAGTTTAGGTGGAGCTGCTTCTCTAGAAGCATGATGGTATAGCAGAGTTCAGAGTCTGGCCAGAGTACCAAACTTTCCACAAGTTGATATAAAATGATGCAGTGTACAAAAACCAAAACCCATGCTTTGCATACTAGCCAGGACAATAATATCTGTTGATCAACAAAAAACACAAAAAGGTTTTCTCTGTAATGCTTCTATACCTTCAAAAAGATTAAGACATTAGCTCCTTACATTGCAGGAACAGCACTGTCTCTATATGGAAACTGCCAGCTAGCTGCAAGAGGCACTAAAGTTCTCAGATGACATTTCTACTCATCTCACTGTCAAATAAAGCCAAGTCCAAGTCTCCTCAGTCACTTTTCCTAGTTTAGAGGGCAGCAACTTCTGTTCTCAGGCTACAAACAGGGGTCTTAAAAAAAATCAAGATTTTTATTAATCAGATTTTAAAAACAGATTAAGATTTATCTTTTCTGAATTGGTATATTGAGGACTATCAGACTATCCAGTGAGATGTTTCTGTTGTCAATGTGTAATATACATACTCTGATTATATGACTTATCACTATACATTGTTGCTTTCTTAATTCAAATTGCAAGCTACATGAGAGAGCAAAGAAAAAAAAGAAAAGAAAACACACACAACAGAACAGCTGTATGAGCACTAAGAAAAGCCCCATTCCCTATTTAAGTCCCATACATATTTTCCTTTATTTTTTTTTCCCCTCCCCCTTTCAGTTATGCCATTCTAACATCCTATAAAAATATTTCATTTTTCCCCCGTGGATGGAAAGCTGTGGTAACTGATCTATTTTTCTTTGTTTTGATGTGCAGTGTAACTGTTAGTATGTGTGTTTCAAGTTATTTAAAACTGTCTGCTTCTGACATGTATCAGAAGCAGAAAGCACCAAACTGAATGTGAATAATCCCTCTACAGGATTGTGACTGCTTGTCCAAAAGGCAAATTCCAGACATTAAGATTCATTTCTTTACTGGGAATGCATTCAACACCCGGATATTTTTTCCTGTTCTCCTTTTCCCCCTTTGATTTTTGTGTTTGTTCGTGTGTGTGTGTGTGTGTGTGTGTGTGTGTCCTCTCAGAGTCCCTTATGAAATATAGTATATCCTTTTTATAATTTCATAAAAAAGCAGGATTGTTTTAAGATAGTACTGGTAAAAAGTTCTAGGAAGTTGGTAATCTGAACTCAAGTGAAATAAAAAATGCAGACATATTGTTGTCATGCAAGATAGTCAGGAGAGTGGTTTAGGTATATTATATCAGTTTTCATAATACACTACCAGGTGCTGTATGTTTTGTTGCATGGTGTGCTCTGTTACTGAATTCAGCCTTCAGAAGTAAAGACGAAAAATTCTGAAGACTCAAAGGAGCTATTCTGAGCTAGTTCCACAGAGATTCAGTAGTCTGTTCACCTGTCTCTTATTTGTAATATTTTCTTATTCCATCTACAAAAGCTAACACTACTGACAGAGTCCATCAAATAGCTCATCCACTCAGCTATTTTATATGAACAACTAGCCTTATATATATTGGTGCCTGGAGAAAGAGGGTATTCTGTCTTTTCTCATCATATCCTCTAGGCATCCACCTGCTTCCCTACTGGTGCAACTGCCTCCTGCAATAAACTCTCAACAATCAGTGAATTTACATCTTGTGAATCCTCAAATTGCTTGCACCGGCTGAAGTGCCACTCAGAAAAAGCCAGTGCAAAAAATAATAAGAAAAATAAAAATAAGGCTTATATTATATCCATGCATGTCTGCTGCATAAGCCCAAATAAAAATAGTGACTTGCTTCTGAAAAGTGGAGCCATATGGGCAAACACATTGCAATCTAGAAGCTATTTAGGACTGCTAGGCTGTACTGGTGCTGCTCTACAGAACGGTTTCTGGATAGTGTCACATCTTAAGCAGCTCATACTGCATTTTCATTTGCAGTAGTTTCTGCCCAAAAGTTCTTTCCCTTCCTTTTGCGCTCTGTCTGCCTTCACGGTGCCATCTTTAGGAACAAGGTCACCTATTTGGGAGGTCCATTTAATTTATTATTCAAACATTTATAAAAGTACGGGTCCAGTTTAGATCTTTTGGTGAGCCAACAGTCACACCACTTCATTGAAAGTGCAAACATTTTAATACTCAGTATTTTGCTTCAGGAAATATAATCCTAGTAATTTTTCAGTGTTCCTTATTGCTTTAATTTTCTGTTGTCATTTAGCCCCCAATGCTAAATGTTTCTGGATTACAAATTAGCTGAAAACCACAACATTTAATGACATTAGGCTAAACTTACCGGATTTCTTCTTTGCAAAACAAAGCATAGTATAAAGTCTTAAAAAAAATTTTTTTATTGCATATTTTATGCTTTGAGAAACACTGAAAGTACATGGTTTCCACCAAACACACGTGACTCAGAGGAATAAAAACTGCAGCTAGGCTTGTAAAAAGCATATTATTTTAAAAGCCTTAACCCAATGTAGCAGAAAAGTCTTGTATGTCTTTACCTCTTTTATATGAGAATATTAAATGCAACCCCAACCCTTTATAACAATGTATCATCTGTTTCAAATTGGAAGGAAATCAAGTCTCTAATACGGTAAAATAACATAGAAGTTAATTTTCTAATTGAACTCTCTGGTCTTGGACTGCCTGCAGTAAACCTTGACAATCTGAGACCCAGGCAACCTCTGGCATTTTAGAGTGTGGTTTGAATGTTACTAATTATATACTTGACTATTTCCAACAGTATAAAGGAAGAGCAGTTGCCTGCGTACTCAACATTCAGTGCAAAAAATACACTAATTCTGTATTATCTTTGAAAACTGAAACAGGAACAGGAAGTAAAATTTAATTTCTTTGTGATCAGTTCTTTCCTTAGCTGTATGGAAGAAGAGAGGAGAAGAGAAATCTCCCTGACAAGACAGAAAAGGTTTGACAAAATTTGATAAGAATTTATAAAGAGTGAAGAAAATAACATTTCTTGATTATAATACACAGTTGAAGGAGATGATGCAGAAGAAAATGTAAATTTAAAAAAGGCTGATCAAAAAGTGGGTTTAATTTCTCAAAATCAGAAATCAGAGAGGTGGAGATTTTAAGAAACCTACGGAGACCATCTAGCAAAAATCACAAGTCCAAACAGGGTTACCTACACAAGTTGGCCCATGAATATCTCAAGATAGGTGTTTGAGATTGTGGTCTGCAATGGAAAATATGGGCTTAGTGCCACAACTGGTATGAAAAGTCCAGCTATGGGAAGGGTAAGGGTTGAGAGAAAGGTGAGAGGTGCCTTTGAAGTGGCTGAGGGCAGAATCTGCCAAGAGAAGGTGTGTGCTGCCAGGAAAGTGGCCCTGTGAGGGGTTTATAGTGTGAGACAGAAATTTGGGTCTTAGTGCCAACCATGGCTTGAAAAGCCTTTTAGACTTAGGGCTGAGAGAAATAGAAAGCTGTGAAGTGCTGTTGTGGTGGGTGTGGTTAGGGCCTCACAAAGTCCTCACAGGAGAGCTCTCCTGGCAGCAAACACCTTCCCTTGCCAGGCCCATCCCACAGCCACTACAATGGCACCTCTTGCCTTTCTCTTTCAACCCTAACCGTAACCATAAAACTAGCAGTATTTTTCAGGCTGAGGCTGGTACTAGCTGCCTAGCCACACAGTCCAGACCACAATGTCCTCACAGCACAGCTCTCCTGGAAGCCAACACCATCCTTTGGCAACCCCTTTCCTCACCCACTAGAACAACACCTCTTTCCTATTTCTTTCTTCCAACCCTAGCCCTAGGAGGATTTTCAAGCCAAGGCTGGCACTAAGACCTCTATTCCAGTTTGAGACCTCAGTGTCCTCATAGCACAACCCTCTTGGAAGCAAACATCTCCACTTGACAACCCCAGCCACTAAAATGGTACCTCTCGCCTTGCTCTTCCCCTCAACCCTAACCATAACCCTAGGGGGATTTTTCAGGACGGGGATGGCACTGGTATTCCCCTTCTTGGATCAGACTGCAAAGTCCTCAAAGGACAGCTCTCCTGGCAGCAAGCACCTTCCCTTGGCAAGCCATTACCATATCAACCACAACAGCACTTCTCATCTTTCTTTTTTCTCTCAACCCTAACTGTAAGAGGATTTTCAAACCACGGCTGGCACTAAGGCCCAAATTTCTGTCTCACACTATAAACTCCTCACAGGACAGCTCTCTTGGAAGCAGAAATCTTCTCTTGGCAAACCCTTTGCTTCCTCACTACAATGGCTCTTCCTTTTCTCTCAACCCTAACTCTAGGAGTATTTTTAAGCTAAGGCTAGCACTAAGACTCATATTCCAGTCCCAAACCACAAAGTCCTCAGAGTACAGCTCTCTTAACAGTAAACACTTTCCCTTGGCAGCTCCTTACCACAGCCACTACAGTGGCACCTCTTGCCTTTCTCTCAACCCTAACCCTCACCCTAAAACTATTATGGATTAGACATACAAAATACAAAGTTAAAATAGTGGACAAGGCTGCAATGTCAAGAAAGCAGAAATTTGTAAGAGCAGACAAGCAGAGGAATAAGCATTTGAGTAAACAGTACCATAATCAAATAATCACATGGTGATAACCACAAGTGCTGAAGACTTACATAGATGAAAATCTGAAGTACAATCCAGCAACATCATCATAGAAAAGGGAAGGGGGTAGGCAAAGTATCTTTGTAAAAAAAAAAAAAAACAAAGCAGATTTTCACTTACTCTAAAAGCAGGTATCTCATTCATTGTGTAGCTCTTTGCCAAGGCCTCACCTGGTCCCACTCTCCTATCTCTGCTGCAAAGATTCTCATTGTCATCAGCTGTAGCTCTGATGATCTTGAGATAGTCTTCTATGGGCAGCAATGGATGTGGTGCTCAACTGCAAACAAACATAAAACCTATATACTGAGGCAACATTCATGTTTGAAATCTCTAAAATCTACAATATTAACAAACAATTAATAAATAAATGACCATAATAATGGTCAGTATCTGTGAATGATCTTCCTTCACCCAGTGTCAGAATTATAATGGACAGCAGATTCCTGAGGTCTAACTTTAGGTGGTTCTCTTTTCCTTTTCTTATTTTCCTTTTTTTCCCTAGCAGAAATATTTACATATATTATGAGGCAATCTACAGCAAAGGGTAACAGGTATTCTCGCCTGGCAATTTAGGGCCAAATAAATAACACCAACAATAGCATTGCACAGCAGAAAACCAACAATTCTAACTTTGTTCAGGCTGGTTATGCCTGTATGTTTTACAACAAATGAATATGCTGAAACTCTGGACTCCAACCTCACTGGTAATATTTGTGACTTTGCTAAATATTTGTGACAACTGCTAAAGTATCATCAAATCTTCCCTTTTTTTTATTTTCTTTACGAATCTTTATTTGACTCCTTTTCACTTCTGCTTTGTAGCACACAGTGCATCTATTGTTCACAGTTTCCAGCTGCACTACCTGTTCCAAACAACTGGAAGCATCATCAGTTTGCAGCAGTGCAAGTTTATAGGATTTTCTAATCACGAACACACACAAAAAAACAGAAAATATTAATAATGAATACACTCCCAAGCTATACTAGAAACACTGTGATAGAGAAGGAGCTTCAGTAGCACAAAGGATATAAAATAACAAGTTTCTATCACTTCTTTTTCTTTTAGATAGAGTTCAAAATTCTTAAAAACCGTGAAGTGTATCTTCTCCATTGCAAAGCAAACCCTGACATCTGCACTAACAGCCAATCCTGTATGTTTTACTCTCTGAACTAATAAGAATTTCTTGCTAGCAAAGGCAGCATACAGAAAGCCTTCAATTCACATGATCCATCGTATCTAATCAGTGAGACAATCAGTATGGACAAGAATGGGGTAAAGGTGGCCTCACTGTGCCTTGTCACACTTATGGTCATACTTATGGTGTGTTAGCTAGATAAATAATGTGTTTCATGAGATAAAGATTATTAAAATTCATATTTGAAGTTTCTTAATAGTCTTTGTGGACTTCAACTCCTACTTACACCAGTGAAAAGTTAAATTAACTTCAGCATACAAGCATGAAAAGATTCTATTCCTATGTAAAGGAGCCACAGTATACTAAAATGGTCAAAGTGACAATCATCTGAGAAAAGAATGGAAACATATACCAGCTAATCAGAAAACTCACACTGTTTTTCAAAATGATAATTTAAAGATTAATAGCTCTGCTTTGACATCCAATAGTCTTTGGAAAGTCTTCATATGAAAGCACTTTGTAAATCACATTTAAAGAAAAAGCATTAATAGTGCCCCTAGAACTACTAGGAAATCTCAATAATATTCAATAAAACTGCATGTGTTTAGAATTCTCAGCACTGTTCCTAGGACATATACTTATTTATGCTGCTTTACATGATTTCACATTATTGTGAAGCCTGAAGAGAAAATTAGAAAAGGTCAAGTAATCAGTTCATTCCCCTTGTGTCTGCTCATCTTGGACTCAGTCCTGGTCACAGTGAAGTCGAATGATTCCCAGTGAATCTCTGGCAAAACTCCCAGAGACTGCACTAAGAGCAGAACAGACACATAAGGCTTGATCCAAACCCTACTGAAGATGATGCAGGTCTTTCATTCATTTATAATAGGCTTTGGATCAGGTCCCTCAAAAATATGTACTTAGAATCTATGTTTTAAGCATCACACAGGAGACAAAAACCAGTTTTCTGTCCTGCCTCGTGGTACGGACAGATGGAGATTTCTGCACATTTTATAAGGGGCTTATGTCATCCATTACAAACTGTGGGTGCAAATAGAGCAAGTGACTGGCTTTATCTACAGAGGATTATGAATGAAGTTTGTGTCTAAAACCAAGTATACAGAAAAACAACCCCAACACAGCAGTGTTTAGAACTGTGCTAAACCCAGAAGAGCGTAACATAAATCCCAGAGCCTACAAGAAGACAGATGCCATTTTCTCCTCTTCTTCCTGGGCTATTCTAACCATTCTTCAGAAACAGAAGTAATACAAGTAGATGTAGGAGCCCTTCCAAGCAACTTCATGACCCCAACTCCCTCTTGGCATCATTTGCTGAACAAGGCTCTGACAACTCTCTCCCAAGCTCTGTATTGGAGCTGGGAGGAGGAATCTCAGAAAATTACCTGTATAAAGTCTGCAGTCTGTGCTGCTAGGATGTTTTTCTCACATCCAAATGAGTATCTCTCTCACACACACACACACACACACACACACACACACACACACTCCTTTTGTTTTCTTTCCTATTTTCTCTCAGATAATTACACCAACATTTAGACTGGTATTATATTTGAGAATATAATTAACAAGAAAAGGTACCCTTGACTTTGTTTTTCCATCTGTAAAACAAGCACATTAACACTGGAGATACTAGGGAATTTTCAAGAGGACTTTCATACTTTTTTTAGTATGAAACTCTGAGTATGTAAGCTTCTACAAGTACATACAGTTTTCTTTTAGAAATTCATTATTTCAGTTTTCCTCCTGCTGAAATAATATGCTGTAATTTCTTTTGTTAGATTTTTGCCTTTCAGGTTCTTATCGCAGACACCAGAGAACCCCAAATTACAAACCAGCAAGGACTAACATGGGCCCTTACCAATACATGAGCACAAAACTGTGAGTACTGGAAATAGTTTGCAATTTATGCCCTGTGCCTGTAATCTACAAGTGGAAATATTCTTGTTCATACTATATATACTATCTATCTGTGTGTGTATATGTATATACATGTATGTATATACATATATGTATATATATTCCCATCACAACTCCTTTAAAACATGTGCTCTTAGGTGTTGGAATACACTCTCAGAAAGCTCAAGTAGCCCACTTCATGAGCACATTTTCATATTGTCATATATGGACATTATATTCACCATTAGATAGTCTTCACCCTGAGGGGGAAGATGTTAATCGTAAGATAACAGAATTTTAAAATATAGCAAAAATTTTTTTAAAAAAATGTTTTGTACAAAAGACTAGCTTCAATAATATGTATACTGCTGTTTGATTATTATTGAGATGACATTATTGAATTGATTTTCTCACACAAAATACTAGGTTCAGATAAACAGTGTAATTTCCCTTGCAAAATACCTGTGATTGGGCCATTTGTCTCACATGCTAGAGATATCCTATTAAAGAACCTTCCCATGGCGCTCCAGGGATCTATCAAAATTCATGGAAGTTCTGAATACAGATGTTTACAAAGGGATCACTACCCTATTTATACAAACACATGTTGGCAGTTGGATTTCTCTATCTGTTCCACATCAGAAATGAATGAATTTATCCACCACAGGGATAGAATATCTCACATGGGTAAACTGAACCACTCATTGAAGTGGTTTGGGATAGAAGAAATTAAATGAACCAACAATGGCAACAAATATGCCCTTGCAGGCCAAATCGTACCCATTTCTGAATCTCTAGCACTGAGATTAGAAAGATGTGGATTTGGAGAATACCAGAATTTGCAAGAATCCCTCAGAACGTAAGTTGGATTCTGTGACCACAACCAACATCCTTTAAGCTTCTTTTCAGGAGTAGCTATTGGAGATGTAACTAGAATGTCCCATTAAGAGAATTCATACTCATCTAGAGCCAATACTAGATTTGCAACACATGTACATGGAACAATAAACTGAAGTTGTAGAAAGCCATGCATATAAATTATACAGAGACAACCATCTGAGCACATATTCAAAGAAGGTAAAATCAAAAATCCAGGGCCTGGATATAAGAAAGCTTAAGCAGTAGTTGATCTTATCAGACGTATACATGCTATGTACTAATATGTAACTAACTACGTGAATGTTCTCCTCTCTTCTGGGGCTCACACAAACAACAGAAGTTTACAAGCTAATTTAAACAGGTACAGCTGCAAAACAAACAAACAAAGCACAATAAAGCTCTCTAGGCAGCAAAAAATTAGGACACTCAACAAGCCTGTGATGATATTGGAAATGTAAAAAGAGTAAAACGTTGCGAATCAGAAGTGAACTGAAGCAAGATGCCACCCTAACATTCAACTGCCCTTACACAGTACTGATAATGAAAGCTCAAAGCACTCTGGGCATTCCCGTTTTCCCTCACTTGAGGACAGATTATATAGACGGACTATTTCCCACCAGGAAATATCACCTACCATGGAAATACTAAGAATGTTTGTCATATACATCCTCCAACCACTCCCACTGGTGGGAAAGAAAAACACTTTCCTATTGTATATAACTGCTGGAAGCAGAACTGAAAAAAAAATCTTCTATAGGCAGGAGATACATTTAGATCAAATTCACCTACCATCTATATTCTATAAATGTATAAACATATATTTTGTCATTTGAAAAAATCCTTTTGGTCATCATCAGACATGCACATGCACAGAATAAGTTCTTCCTACTCATGTAATCATTTATACATGATGCTCTGGGAAAAAAAAGTCATATTTAAGCAATCCTGCAATTTTACGTGATACACCTGAGTATCCAGTGGTAACACACACAGTTCTGCAGGCCATATAGTTCCTAAGGAACAGGAAGAGTAACACTTCTGGATGAAAATTCTTCATTGTGTTCAGTCTATAAAGAAATTCATAAACTCATAAATTCATAATTTATAAATATAGAAATTCATATAAATATATATAAATAATTTATATATAAATTATGTATAAAAATATATATTTCTATTTTCTAATTTCTATATAATATAATGTATATATAATATAATTTCTAATTATAT